AAACGGTGAAGTGTGGTTTCATATGACCGGTGTGGCTAGCGACGATTGGATGATTTTTTTGTAAACGCCCCTGAGTGCAGAGTGAGTCATCGGACATTTGAAACAATTTTACAGACGACAAAAGATTTATTGGGGATTTTGATGTAAAAATACTCTATATGTACAGTGTATATATGACAAGCGATAAATGAACAATTAACACAGGGACACACGATTAAAACTGGGAACTGGGGAAATGTATTTTTCCTTCAGTTTGGACTCTTGTTTCCAAATGAATTAGGTTGCAAAATGTAAATAAATCTATTTCTTTATTTATTATTACTATTTTTATTGGGTATCAATCTGTTGTTCACGCGTGTATTGTCATGTATTGACTCGAAGCGATAAACACTTTAGGTTGCAGTATCGCGCTGAGACGCAGCTGAGACTCTCTGAGACAGCTGCAAAGATTAAAATGAGCGTATGCGAGTAAAAAAAACGCATCTGCCACGTTTGCTGTCAAGACGTTGGGTTAAATAACTGTGGTTTGTAATCATTCAATCAAAAATTACAGCAGTTGTTGTTGCAGATACATCTGGCAGAGATCTGCACTGTACTGAGTGCACTTTTCTAGTTTATTTCCTGTTTTTGTTGTATTTCGTAGTTCTAAACCGAGCCATTTATCTTTTTTTAATTCTTTCCCACATCCAAGCTAAAAATTCCTCACTTGTAGTCTTTGGGGTTTTTAATCTCCGCTTCTCACATCTCCTTTGAAATCCAAACAAGCCGACACACACACACACACATCGTGCTGTTTTACACTCAATTAGTGCTCTTCAGTTCCTCACAAGTCTCTTTCTCTCGCTACCTCTTGACTCTCACAACAGCATGTTTTCATTAGCGCATGCTTCCTCTTGTTTTTCACTCTTCCTCTTTTGCATCATTAAGTTGTTAAGAATAACCCTGGGCTGCTAACAGATGCTGCGGAGGTAAAAGATCGTGCACATCATCAGAACATGCTTTTGTGTTTAAGAGGTAGAGCTGTTCACGCTCTCTATTAGAGAAGACTGATATGTCTTTCTGCTAGAATCATCCACGTTATAATGACATCTCACTTTCCTGTGTTGCTTTCTCTCTCAGCCTTTTCACTCTTTACTGTTCAAAACTCTCCTCAGAAAAGGATGTTGTTCTCCTTCAGAAATCTAGGCTTGTAGGATTGTCCTCTGGAAAGTTTGTTTCTTCTTCTTGTCGTGGATGAAAACTGAACTATCCTGCAATAGATTTCTGTTTGAGCTTACCTCTGTTGAAAAATAAATCTGGCTTTAGTAAATAACTGTTCATCTAAATCCAATTAATCCCTTCTTATTATTTGAAGATTTCCAGACAGATTGCAGCCCTTGACTCCCTGCTGAATATCTCCAGCTCTGACAACAGATGCACTCGACAAAGGCAGACTTTGAGACACATAGCAGATAAGACTGCTTAAAAAAAATAACAGGGATCACATAGATGGAACAACTTCACACTGACTTCTCACCAAAGCTGCACATTAAAAACATGAACACAAAAAAACACTCGAGAAATCCGGAGAACAACCGAAGCCTGCAGCTATTCAGAAAAAGGAGACGGGTGCAAGGCTGGAGAAGCATTAGACTGCAGACAAAACAGAGGCGCGCACACTCTCACACACACACACACACACACACACGCACACTGGAGGCAGAAGTTGTAACATGTTTAACAAGGAGTGAGAGAAAGTGAGGACTGAAGGGGAGAAAGCTTTTTGAGTGAAAGGCCATCTGCTTAGTCCGTGGCGATGCCAGTCGCTCGCTAGCTTCCCAATCGCTCGCACCTGCCAGCCTGCCAAAGCACCCTCAGGAGGACGAACGCACCGACGCCACACACAAACACACACTCGGGCCGCATGCACTCGCAGAGCAATAATGGCGCGCACACAGCAATAACTGGTGTGATTTGTCAGCGCCGTGCTGCGTCTGAGGAGCTTTCGACATTTTTTCATGTTTTCCCTCCTGCGGTAACAATAGCATAACAGCACTTTATTAAACGAGAACAGGACAGAACAGAATGGCCTGCAAATCAGCTCGTTTATGAGCCATAGCTGTGCAGCACCCTGCCCGGGAAGGCTGCAGGGAGTGTGTGTGTGTGTGTGTGTGTGTGTGTGTGTGTGTGTGTGTGGGTGGGGGGTGGGGGGGAAATACAGGGAGACTGTACGGGCATTCATTGTAGTTTTATAGTTCAGTGATGAAATCCTCCATCAGGGTGTTCAAAATGTAGTCAGGATTGTGGATAAAATAGTTGAACTAGATGCAAAACAAGAGCAAAAAGCTCTCCAGCACTTATCCGGTCTCATGATTACTGGGGAAATGATTTAAACAGCTGACATTTAGGGGGGGGGGGGGGGTAGCGCCTTACAAAAGGCCTGGTGGGGAATCATTTCAACCCTGGCCGACTCTGTGTCCATTTCAATTCCGATTTAATCATCGTCCACATTCAACCGGTCTCAGCAAACACATCAGATTCTCATGTATCGAGAATCCGATGTATCGAGAATCCGATTTGGGTTTCATCCAAATGTACTTTTTCAAGAACGGAGCAGTAAATGAAAGCCGGAGAGCCAAAGATGAAGCGAAATGAGAAGAAACGCAGAGAGCGTGCTGAACGGAGTGAAATGGACTGATTGGCAGATGAGACGGAAGGTTTAGTAGATGAAAAGAGGGCGGTATGAGCAACAAGAGAAGAGAGACACCCAATCCTTCTTTTGAGATTTCTACTCGTTCCTCCAAAACCTGAAGTATGACACTCCCGTTGCATCTTACAGTGCAATCGCCCACCCATCATCTTTCACACTCCTCCTCCTCCTCCTCTCTCAAATAGACTTGGAATCTACCTTTTCATCTCCTTGCAGCTCTCTCCTTCCCTCCATCAATCTCCTTTTTCTCTCCATCTCTCACACACCGCCTCCTCTTCCTCTCTCGCTCTTTGCTCTTTCACACCATCTCAAAATGTAGCTCTCCAGTGGCGCAAACATACTTCAGATGCATCCCCCCCTCTTTGGTACAGTCTGTCATTCCCACTGCTTATCTATTCCTCTCTCATTTCTTCTTCCACTTGTGTCTCTCCTTCAACTTGCTTCTGTCCATCCCCCCCCCCCCTTCTCGCTCTCCTGCTCTTGTCTCTCTAGTGATGTATCTTTGATCCTCGCCTCATTCCCCAGCCACAAACGCACTCCACCTAAAACACACGTGCACACACATTTTGACAGGTGCACAGAAGTCGGTTTAATAGAAAGCAGTAATCAACACTACTCCCTCCCAAGTGTCCTCACCTCCAAATAGAGGAAAGATAGATAAAGACGGAGTGAGGGGAAAGAGGAAGAGAGAGAGATGCCTGAAATTCATGGCAGTGCATCGACCCCTCTGTAAAAACCTCGTTAACACCTCCCCGGCCTGTGAAACCTGATTAGTCGACTGTGAGTGTGTTTGTGTCATAGCGTGTGTTGATAGCACACTATGTTTAACAGGTTGTTTTGATTCTTACACGCACAACCTCATAATTCCCCTCTGATTAAAAAGAAAATGTTGATGTGTTCCCATTTGTTTGCTGTGTGTGTGCGCCACGCGGGACATGTCTCAACTGATTACATCCCTCCTAGTCAATAGTGAATAGAGCACTCAGCCTGATAAGCAATCACCTGAATCAATACTAATGTTTTTAGTGTGTGTACGTTAGTGTGTGCGTGTGTGTGCGCGTATTTCTTAACATGAAGCTGATCTGGGCGGAGCTCATAGAGGATAAACATTTAGTTACAGGCACGGTAAATCACAGATGCTGTCATCCCTTTTTCCCCTCTCCTCTGCTGACGTTGTCCCTTTTCTTCTTCGTCCAAAGAGCCCTCTCCTAACTCCAATCCTTTCATCTTTCTCGCATTTATTTTCCCGTCTCGCTCTCATCTCCTTCCCCTCTTTGGCCGTCTTCGAGGCTGAGCGTTAACAGCGGCCTAACCTTCAAAGAGAGCGATCATGGAGCATCCATGCTCTTCTCATGCGCATTAACACAGCCCTCAGTTTAGGTGTTGGCAGCAGTATAAATGTCAAAGTTGGAGGCTCTGCTTTGACACGCACACATGTAATCCCTCAGAGAGAGGCAGAGCGATATGAAGTGAGACCAAGTGTGAGATTCTGCTGAACCCTCGTGTGCACGTGAAAGCTTGAGCTATTGTTTTCCTATGGAGAGAGTGAACATCATGGCAGCAATACCTTAGACATTGCACTCAAAGTTTGGTCAGCTCCAACTTAAGACTTCTTTGTTGGTTACTTATAATAATGTGCCAACGATAAGATTACAGCTGTCAATGGCGTAACCTAAAAACGACCGTGATGGTTTTGCAGAAACGATATGACACCAAATAAAGGAATAAGCCAACAAGTACAAAACCAACAATTCTACAGTCCGTCGATCAGCACTTTCCACTTCCTGTCTGTGACCCCAAGCCCATTGACCACAAATATATACTTTCATTTTTAGGAAATGCTAAATACTTCCCTAAAACAACTAGGCATTGCTAACCAGTGAACTTGTTGTGGATTTGATGCTCTAGTGAGCATTTACGGCAGCCGGACAGTCTGTATGAGACTGACTGAAATAAACTACATTGCCCATTTTCTTTACAACAAAAGAATGTGTCAGCTGGCACAAAGAAGTGTCTCTTAAATGTGTTTTCAGGAGTTTTTTCACAACAATAAAGGTCTATGTAACAGAGAAATAAGATATAGTATATTATTAATTAGATGGAGCAATTTGTTGTTTTTAGTCTTTTCATGGTAATTGTTGATGATAATAAAAATAAAGAATATTAACATTCATACTTAAAAACACCTTTGTTTAGGTTTATTGTTTATTTTTTATTTCCCAGCACTTGGAGGCTTCCCTGTTCTCTCGTACAGTTTATACTTGTGTAGACGACCTTCATGTGTCTTGTTTCTTTTCTTTTTTCAACCTACCTTCCGCTGACAACGAAGCAAGTCACCAGGAAGATGAGGAGAACGATTCCCCCGGCGATGGACACAGCCAGAATGGTGGACTGGTTAGGGTCCCCGATAGCAAAAACATCTATATAGGAGACAAAGGAAGCACAGAGGATTAATAAACAACAGCATAATGGAGGATGGAAAGAAGCTGAGGATGTTTTCTGCCGGAGGAAAGTGAAGGTAGAAAAGATGAAGGTAGGCTGGGAGTAAAAAGGACAGCGAGGTGAGCGTGGCCGGGGAAAGAGGGAGAGAGAATGAAATATGATAGCATTAGAAAGGGAGATAAAAGAGGTTGAAAAAGAGAGCGAGGGAGGCGGATGGAATAGTAAGTAAGGTCCTTGATGAAAAGCGCTCTCCCTCTGCATCGCCTATGAGGGTATGAGACGTGAAAGCCATTCCCATTCAGCCGCGCTGTCCAAATGGATATGTTAACATTGCACATAACAAGGCTACCGCAGAGAACTTTCTGCAAAGATGCATTGATTTTTACGCCACACCAATCGAGCCATTACTCAAAACAAATGCCCCATTTATCTGGCTTAGCTAAGCATGAGCAGAGACGTGTGGCTGTATGTGGGTATGGGTATTTGTATTTATATATGAGTGTGTGTGTGTGTGTGTGTGTGTGTGTGTGTGTGTGTGTGTGTGCGTGTGTGTGTGTGTTGGAGAGGCAAATGAATGCCCCTAGGCAGCCACAGATGAGCATTGTTCTCCTATTACATTTACTGTTGCAGACCTATACAGCCTTCTTTAACAATCCATATAATTGATCTGATTAGATAACCTTGATATGATTGCTGTATTTTACAGCTCTGAACCTGACTATGAACTTTCAGAAACAGCTTTATACCAGTGATACCCAACCTGTGTCCTGAGCTCTGTGAGTTACTTTTTTACCACCACATTCCTGATATTTGTTGCAGAACTTTGAATTGCTTTTATTGATAATTTAATGATTAAAAGGCTAATGTGTGGCCGTTGTGTGCTACACAGACAGCGCAGTCTATAGCACAGTGCTATACATTAACTGATTTATCCCCCCTCTGCCTGCCTGTCTGGGAATCAATGTTCACTTTGAAGAGGCCTCTAAAGCACATAATGAAGCGATAATGAAAGTGGATGACAGTAAACAAAGGTGAAAAGGACAGAGTGACGGAGGGATTAAAAAGCATCACGACCGAGATACATCATAGTACACCCAGAGCTGTTTGTGAGGAGCGGCCCCGCTGGTCTGGATCGAACCCGGCATATATTTCTCTTTTGTGTCTCCTCCTCTTGTTTCCCAAAGCTTAAGTGTGGAAAACATTTCGAAATGTAAGTAGTCCGTGTCCTTTTAAGAAGAAAAAAAAAAAAGGGAAAACAAATAGTGCTCTACACAGATCACTGCTGCTCACTGGTGTGACATTATAGTTGCAGGTGGGGGGAGTGAAACCAGTCCAAAGATAGGAATCAGATATCCAGTCATGTTCATTTGTGATGATTCGAACTTCTTCTACCCTTTTTTATTTTCCTCCAGTGGTTGGTATGAATCTAATCCTCACAATCTTTTTCAAATATACTTTTTCCTTCATTGTGAAATTGGGTTGTCTCCTTTTTGCCTGATAGGTATTCTCGGATGCTTTCAAGCCAGTGGTTCAGACACGTAGATGACAACCTACTGCGGTTTCTCTGTCTGACAACAGACCTGAATAAGCCATTCGGATGAAAAGAGAGCTATTTTATAACCATCAGGTGGGTTGATTTAAACTCTTACAGTACTGTTATATGATATAATATGCCAGGACGCTGTGCTCTGCAGTTAATCTTTGTGCTTCCTCATGTTCACCGTTTACCTCGAATTATGTGGTGTGGATTGTTTTTAAAGACTGGCATGTATTTTCATTGCATGTGTGCTACTCCAATTTTCAGCTGAAAACCACAGGAAAAGAGAAAAAAAACCTAAAACAATCCAATTACATAAAAAAAAGGCAAAATCTGAAAATATGTATTAGTCATCGGTTTACCTTCGTGGCTGGTTTCCAATTCAATCTCTCCACCATAGCTCCCATAGCCCCCGTCGGTTCGAGCCCTGACCCTGAACACGTAGGTAGTCCCTGGCTTCAGCCCTTCCACTGTCATCATGTTGGAGCGAGTCTTCAACACTGTGTAGTTCTGCTCCCGCTGATTCTGTAGTGGAAGAAAGAGCAAAAGGAGGGAATTTAATACTAAATTGAATATTATTAAGTGACAGAAAATAATGTAAGGGCTGAAATTATAGATGTACTCTTCAGGGTTATATAAAGAGCAATGGACTGTGGTATCGAGAGGGAAAGTCTGAAAATAATAGAAACCTCAATAGTTTAATTTAAATGTCTCCAGGGGCTACGTACTGTACACCTCACTAAGTTTTCATTTGTTCATCATCGAACCATTTGGTCGGATTTATACATGAGCATCTGTCAAGTCCCAAATCTTATCCCCTTTACACTTGGGGGCAATATGTGGTTACTCAAGTCTCGCTTCGCTTCGTTCCTCGGCTATCTTGTAGTCCTAGGTGTATGACTACCTTGGTGAGTGTGTGTGCATGTGCATGTGTGAGCACGTGCACTTAAAAGTGTGTATGTAGGAGGATAAATAAAGAATAATTGTGTCTGTCAGTAAGCTGATTCCCTGCAGAGAAGCTGATACTCTTCCTAATGGAAGACACTCTACAACAAGGATTAACACTATTTTACCGCTAATGCCTGCCAAAAAACACACACACACACACACACACAGAGCCTTAATTTCATCACCTTGGCCTTGTTTTACGAGGTTTGTTCGACAGATGTGTGGTTAATTGGCTTGGAGTGAGCAGTAGGGGAGACGTGAGGGATAGAGAGAGATGTTTGTGATGAACAAGTCATTAGAGACAGGCCCTAAGGCTAAACCCATAACCTACAAGCCTAGACGACATATAGATGAAGCGAACAAGAGGAGAGAGAAACATGTTGTGTTAAACCCGTTAAAAGGTTCCTCCAGAAAATTAACATTGCATTTAAAAGAATAGTTTGGCATTTTTGTAAATGTCCTTATTCCCTTCCTTGCTGAGAATCAGATGAGAAGACTGATACAACTCTCATATTTGTATGCTAAATATGAAGCTACAGCTAGCAGCCGGTTAGCTTATCTTAACACAAAGGCTGGAAAAGGGGGAAATGTCTTTCTGCTGTCTGAAGCTCCCACATTAACATATTTTATGTCCGTTGTTAATCCATGAAGCAACAATTGTAAAAAAAACTATTTTCCGCTTTACAGGGGGTAATGTTGCAGACAATTTCTTGGTTAAGGACCAGTAACTTCCTGGAGTCTCGGCTCGTTGGTTCTGGCTTCGAGATAATCTGGAAAAAAGCCCCTCGTAAAAACGGCGGGATGTTGTTCTTACCCTACAAACTTTATAATGTGGTCATTTGTGAGCTTAAGAGATGCTTATAGGAGGATATTTTTTCACCTTTAAACACAAAAAGACTAGTTTCCCCCTTGTTTCCAGTCTTTGTGCTAAGCTAAGCTAACCAGCTGCTAGCAATAGCTTCATATTTACCACACAGACATGAGAGTGGCATCAATCTTCTCATCTAACTCTCTGCAACAAAAGCGAATACTTTTAACACAGGCTTTCTGTTAAAAATCTGACAAAACAAGTAAACTGATCCTCATGCGTGAAATTGGTAGAGTGCCCCTTTTAAAAAAATAAAAGCGCGTGTGTGCATCTCTTTCACCTTCTCATAGTAGATGACCTCATACTCCACTATCACTCCGTTGGGTCTCTCTGGACCCTGCCAGGCCAAAGTCACGCTGTCCTTGCTCCGCCTCTCCTTCAACACAACGCTCACTGTAGAAAACAAATACCAAGAGGGGAAAGCATGAGCACCAAAGAGAGAGTAAAGTTCAGCAGGATGAGGAAAAAAAAAAAAAAGTGTGGGAAGAGAGCGGGCTGTGTGGGAGAGGAGAGAGATTTCAGATGGATACCCACTGTGCTATAACGAGAAGACCCTCACATCACAAGCATCTGAAGTGCTTGTGATGTAATTTTGCTAATGAGAGAGAGCTTACAAGCGGTTTTATACATGTGTGATTACAGAATCCTACGATGTCTGTATGTGTGACATGCGTGCGTATGGTGTGTGAACTGCTGGTGTTACTAACCGCACACCCTGCGACTTCCAACCAAGCCTTTACACATTAGGGCACATGCTTGTGTGGGCTGACCCCCCCCTCCCTCCCGTTATTACACACACACACACACCCATAGCACGAGGTTGATTAGTCATCCCCTCCCTGTCATACACACTTCTCTTGCACCAATTTTCCATAGTCCCACACTGTGAAAGATGCCCGCATGATCATATATGTGAAGGCAGAGGTGCAGAGGTGTCATTTTGTGGCATCAGAGTGATGCCGCACAGCAGTGACTTTACAGTTGCCTTGTAAAAGCCTGGTACTATTTGTGAGCGCGCAATCAGGAGACAATTTTGAAGAAAAATACTCTCTGATCCGTCGTATTCGTAGTTCAGGCTGATGAATACGTTCTTCCCAGAGGATTATATTTTCTTTAAAAGTGGATATCAGTGGAGTCATGCAGAATCTTTCTCGTCATGTTTTTACTGCAATTTAAATCAGAAAACCCTCTGGCACACATACACATCATTCTGTGAAAGAGAATACTGGTGTTTTGACAGTCATAGTTCAATTTGGGGATTTAGTTGTTTTACATTTACATTGCGCCCATTATGCGTGCATGTTCTCACCTGTCTGTGATGTGGTGACATTGATGACTACTGTTCCTCTTTGTGTCGGACTTAAGTCCGACACTCCATTCTGGCTCTCAACAGTGAAGCTGTAGTTTGAGTCCGGCTGCAGGTCGGTGACCAGCACGGTGGCTGACGAGAGGCCGAACTGTCTCGGAACAAAATGGATGCTGCTGCCACACGGTGTGCACTTCCTGCCGTCACCGGAGCACTTCCTGCAGTGGAGGCTGTAGGTGATGTCCCCTCGGCCTCCCGTGTCTCTGGGCGGTGACCACTCCAAGGTGATGCAGGTTTCGTTCACAGTGGAAATGGGGTTCTCTGGAGCAGATGGAGGACCTGAGGGAGGATAAAGACACAGATTTATTTATTATATTATTTATTAAATTATATTATATTATATACAGTTTAGATTCAGCAGAAACATATATAGTGTTTGTGCCGTCCCAGCATGCACTGGGCGAGCTGCTAGATACAACCTTGCATTTACCACCCCTCATCAGTCCCAGCTCATGAAACGGCAACACTTTTTTTCCCCAAACGTACATTCTCTAAACGTGCATCCCATGTACATTACTAAACATATTGCAGTTTCTATTAAGAACAAAATTCACATTGATTAAATTAAAAATGAATTAACTGTCTCCTGCCAGAGGGTGGACACTAAGCGCTTTATTAATGAATAGCTATGGAACGTACGGTGATTAAGAGGCCTTGGCTGATTGTAAATGGGACGGTATGAGAAGTTATTACACTTCCGAAGTTTAAATCCATCTTTAAATATAATTCACATGATGTTAAATACTTAGCGCTCGCTCGACCACGGGGAGGGTTTAACCATGTGAAGTTCACTGATACTCTTCAGGGCTGCACTGCAGACAATCAATAGTGAGTGGACAGTGATCTATGGAGAGTGCCTGGAATAATTTTCTCATGAGTCAGGTACATTTTATGATTTAGAGCAGTTCATTTTACTCTGAACGTCGGCTGAAATGATTAGTGTATCACACAGTCAGGATCCGAAAAGTGTGTCAGTAATCATATTCAAAGAGGCAGTGACACATCTTTAGACGGAGTGTGTTAATGTTGACACATTCAATGTAGATGTGTGTGAATAATATTTCAAATGGTTTTGTCACAATTGAAGCAGCATACTGATGTTTTAACATACACACTAAGGGGCATTTCGTCTCCAAATGAACCTGAGAGGTCAAATTCTCGTGGATGTGACTGCATATGTTTCATTTTATTGTTTGCACTCCCATGTAGATAGTGCTACTAATTTGACCCTCCCTCTTCACCGGTGCTTTCCTGTATCGAATATGGGGATTAAAAAAAATGTGAGATTGAATTCAAAGAAATTCAAGGGCCACAAAAACGTGTTGTGTTGGACAGTGGACACCTAACTTGTATGCTGCTCATACACCAAACCACCGGCTCTGTACAAGGTACTCTATCTATACTGCGGAGGGCCTGCATGCACGGACTTGTTGCTTCAGGTACCCACCATGTGTCTGTTTTCTGCTGGAGCCCTCAACCTCGCTATGTCAACGTTGTGTCTGAACCCAGCCTTATCGGGAAGCAGATGCAGGACGTGCTCACCAAAGTTTGCATCCAACTTGTAACTCCTTGTTCAACAATGTAGCGGATTAACATGTGGGCCTTCTCTGTGCTTTCTCATTGGCAGATCAGTTTTGAGTATTGTCATGAAGGGCATTTTGAGCGAACCACAAACCTCCGACTCATCATCAATGTAAGATTCCATGTTGTGTGGGAACCAGTTTGATGGAAACCACAGATTATGGTTGCTCACTGCACAGCACGGTGCAGGTATGTCAACCGTATGGAAATTTGTGAGTAGATGACCGTTTAGCCTGACATCTCATCAGGTCCTTGCTGAGCAGTGAGCCCCAGGGGGCCACCGGCAGAGCCTGGGACTTTCCTGATTAGCCTTCCCAGTGGAGAGCCTCTCAGAAATGAGGAGGGATGGGGTAGCTAGGCGGGGGGGAGGAAGGAGGCCATGGCTATGGATAATTGAGGCTGATGGTCATAAATATCCTGAAAGGGTGTGCTGACTGATCCTGTTAATTCTGTCTTTTTCTTTTCTCCCCCCCCCCCCCCTCTTCCCTGAGCCACACTTAAGTGTCCATCATCTCATCTACTGATCAGCCTTTTATGACATTTAAATTATAAGCCTCTGATAGTCCACCATTTCCCCCGCTGTTCTATTCTTTGCCTGTGCCTTAAGTGTCCCTCTCCATGTCGCTCCATGACTAATTCATTCATCACCTTTTCTCCTTATTTTCTCATCGTCCCCCTCTCCATCCTCTTCACGGCCGGGCATGTATCTGTGTGTGCCCGTACATATTTGAACTAACCGTTACTCATTTCCAGCTGATAACACCAACCGTCACACATCTCACCTGCTACAACGATTAATGAGTGTAATCTACCGTAACCTGATAATGGGTTTGTGTGTGTGTGTGTGTGCGCACAAGTGTGCAAGTGTGTTTCTCCATATTTATCTAGTTCAGCCCCAGCATGTCACTGTCCTTTCCCACCCCCACATCCCTCCGTCCAGCTCAATCCATCCCTCTCTCTCTCTTTCACTCAGTCTTCCCTCCTCATCCTTTCTATTCTCCTCCATCACTGTTCATGAGGATTTGGTCCGATCCCCCTGGCTCTGGGATTTTTGTGTATATATGTGTGTGGGTGTGTGTGTGTGTGTGTGTGTGTGTGCGCTCGCATGAGAGACAGACAAAGAATAAGAAACATCATCAGATTTATATCAGAGTATTACCCATACCAGTGTTCTCATATGAGATATCTGTGATGCGTAACCACACAGCTAATAGACGTGTGTGTGTGTGTGTGTGTGTGTGTGTGTGTGTGTGTGTGTGTGTTTGTGTGTGTGTTTTACGTAAGTATCTCTAGTGTTGTCTAAAACAATAGCAGCTGAGTAGGAGGAAAATGTATGGAGGGATTATTGATATAAATGGAAAGAAACCATGCAATGCCAATTTTTAGAGGAATACATTGCAAACTAATTAAATGAAATGTAAGCCAATCATTGTTACTTAATGCCATTTTATAACATGAAATATGTACACAGTCAAATGCAAATATTTGACTACACTGAATGTAAAACTTGGTATGAAATTAGCTTCCGTGTGCGTTCACATCACTCACGTGTGCAGGCCATGGAGCGTGGGTCCGTCTCAGCACGATAGAAACCTTTCTCGCAAACACACTCGACAGCCTGTAGCTGCGGGGACGAGCTGTGAGGAGGACATTTGGTGCAGTAGGCATCCGTGGCTGAAGCTTTGTAGGTACCAGGTCTGCACGCTGGAGTGAGGAGACAGATGAACACAGGGTTAGAGGCTGCGCTGTTTTGAACCTTTAAGACATTTTCCCTTTTTCATGGGCCGGTGAAGTCTGAAAAGTTGTGCCAGATGAATCCAGTTTACTTCAACTTATGTCATATTTTTGTAAATCGATTCTGTCAGTCACTATAATATTATACTCACAGAAGTAATTGCTGAGCTGTGTGAACACAGCAACACTGCTAAAAAGTAATCATGACGCCGCAAATATGCAGTCAGGATCGTAGAGGTTTTTAAACAAACCTGTAGTCATATTCAATTTGAAGAAGGCAAATGGTGAAATTATTTCCGAAACTGCCAGTTTTAAACATCAATGTGCTTTCAGCTGCATTCAGTTTCAGTTTTTCCTCTAAATAATGTGGTTTGAATAATAATAATCTTGTTTACAACCTGTACTAATGTCTCTTGCCCAGTCCAACTTTTCCCAGATCTCATCTTGGTGAGTACAATGTTATCACAACTGATGAAATGATGCCGGAAGAATAAAACCAACTTTGCACAGTAGTAGAGTACGAGGGAAAGCAGATACTCAAAAAAAGATGAACATGTACAAAAACATTATACGGCATGAGGAGTTATGCTACCACAAATGTACAACATATACCAATAAGTCACCCTTGGAAAAGCAAAAGAAAACAAAGTTTGATTTAATATATTGTGACATTAGGTCGACGTGAGATCCTTTCACATCAGGCTGAAGGCCTGTATAACCACAGGGCCGTACAGTACAATAACACAGTGCAACAGCACAGCAACTGTCATTCCTGTTATATAAGATTTAGTTCTTCAGGCAACCGGGGGAACAAAAATACACAGCCGCAGTCACAGCAATAGTCACAATAACAGAATATTACTATTGCTACGGCTGTTTCAGTGGCTGCATATTAGTCATTATGTGGGGCCGTAAAACTGTGGAGGGAAAACCGTGCTTCCGCTCAACAGGAGCAGTCCGCTGAAATAGATTGGGGACTTGAGTGATTTCCCTTTTGCATCCAAGGCAGTAAAATGGAATTCCTGACTTTCCCTTTGGTAATCTGAATATAGATTACACATGTATTTATTTATACATTCATAGGCCTGGTATTCCCATTTTCGTAAGCCCTTTCTGCGGCGGCGGTAAATAGTACGACAGTGTACAAAACCCTGTGTAAGAAAAATGAGGGTGTTCCAAATGCAATTCCATAGATGCCTTGTGTGTGTGTGTGTGTGTGTGTGTGTGTGAATAGGTTGGATCAATGATGCGACAGAATCCGCCAGGTGCTGATTGCATGTTCGTGTGCTGAGCGCTTGTGTGCAAGAAGGTGTTAAGTATGCGGTGTGTGTGTGATTGTGTGTGCTCGCAGCTGATTGCTTGTGCCGGTGGTGAAGGTCATGGATTTAATCAAGCTACACGTCACTCGTCCCAGAAAGGCTGTAAATTATAACACACACACGATCACAGGTACACACGCTTTAAGTTCTACGGCGTGGTTAACCTGCTGCGTGGTTAACCTGCTGCGTAGAGCGATGGAAAAGTGGCCTAAAAGTAGTGCGTTTTCTCACTGTGGAGGTAAGTTCTTCCACCTGGACATTGTGCGCGTTTTGCTCGCATGCAGACAGTATTTTTAGGCAAATCATTCATCATAGGGGAGCAAAGTCCACTAGCACAATCCCCAAAAGACCTGAAAGAACAGTGGAAAAGAGATGTGTGTGTGTTTGTGTGCGTGTAGGTGCAAAAGAGAGAAAGAAAGAAAGAAAGAAAGAAAGAAGGAAAGGGAGTGATAATTCTCAAAGGGTTTCTGCTCTCTTTCCTCCTTCCTGTCAGCTTCCAAGGTAATGGGTGCCTATGTGCTGTGCTAGTGTGTGTGTGTGTGTGTGTGTGTGTTCCTGTTGGCTGGGCTGTTGGAGCAGGGTGGAAAAGCAGCTTTTCTCCGGGGAGTTTCATCCGGAGAGTCCTGGCTCTGGGCGCTGGCCAACCACAGAGGCACAAAAGGACCCGGGCGCTAGAGGACAGACAGGGCGCCCCCATGCCAGGCCTGGCGTCCGAACAGCTGCCTGATCAAAAACTTTCTGCAAGAATGGCGACTTGGCTGCTTCCAGTGGAGCTTCCTTCTCCTTCCTTCTGCTTTCTGCTCTGCTTTTCCACCTCGTTCTCACTCCTTTTTTTTTTATCTCTCTCTCTCTCACAGTCCCCCTTTTCCCTCTCTCCCACTTTTCTTGCCTCGTTTTTTTCTCAAGCTACTCCCTGTGTGCACCCCATGGGAAATGTGTTACTTGACTTGGTTCCCTTATGATTAATGATTTACCACAGATATGAAAAAAGGGACAAGGAGGCTGAGGCAGTGAGACAGTGCTCTCATAAACACACACTCGCACACGAAGCAGACACACAGAAGCGCAAAAAAAAAGTTTAGTGACAAAAACTATGTTGTAGAACTATGAGCCAACTCCAAATTTGCATAATGTTGAAAGTAACGGTTGACAATGCTGTACAGTATCAAGGGTGTGTGTGTGTGTGTGTGTTGTGTTTCTTCTAAAGATAAAGAGTGGCCTCAGATCCAGTGTCTTATTAAATATTCATCCGGTCACCAGAGAGACTTAGTGTATTTATGCCAATCGATAGCTCTTAGATATGATATAGTACTGCTACTCAAGACCCACCCTCAGTCACCACTGATTGAGAAGGGAACAGCCCAACTGTTTCCTTTGGGAAAACACAACACAGTATGAGCTGATTGAGTTTTATTTTAACCCGTTCTATTCTATTCTACTCTTTTTAGTGCTGCAACTGTTGTTGTTTTTTATTTATCGTAAAATGCTAGAAAGTAGTTAAATAAGCCTATGACAGTTTCCCGAACCACAGGGATACATCTTTAAAAAATCTCCAAAATATTTATTTTATCAATGGGTCAAATGACTGCCTGTAATATAAATGGGTTTCGTACAATAGGGATGAACCCTCGGGGAATTATCATCCAACTCTGCGGTTCCCCTCAGTTCTACAGATCTTCTTAGCGTCTTTTAACTCATTGTTTGGGTTTATGGCTCTCGAACTTACAGTTTTGGTTTACTTTCACCACACATCAACGATGTATTTTCAGCTAAATGGTTAATAAAACAGCCTGCATTCTACCTGCCCAGCACCAACAGCCGACAGACGGACTGAGCGGCGAACTGCTGAACATAGTGGGGCATTTAGCAGCTAAATAGACAAATATTTGCCTCAGCAGGTGGTGGAGAGCAAATCAGAGGTCAAAGGAAAGTAAATATTTCACTTGCATTCGACTAGAACCACCAGCTGCCTCCAAAAGAAAGACAAATCACCTAATACTGTTTTATTTGACCAACACTTCAAAACCCAAATGTATTTAGAAATGCTTAGAGCCAAGAATATAGCAGCAAATCCTCACATGCCAGAAGCTGGAACCTGTGAATGCTTGGCATTTTAGCTTGATAAATAACTTAAAAGAATAAATCATCTCAATAAAATAAAATAAAAATGAATGTGATCTATACATTAGAACAAGTCTCCACAGAGAAGGAAGCCAAAATAAACTGCACTGGGAGGGGTGCCAAGTGTCCTACAACCCCACACACACACACACACAGCTCAGTGTTTAATACACTATTGTTAAAGATAGAGAGTAGAATACTGAGGAAAAGTATGTTATGCTTCAGTCAGTGCTGTGAGTAACTCTTTCTGGCATCAGAAGACTTTAGCTGCGTTTATTAATAGTCACACCGTGCTAAAATAAGGTGTATGGGTTGCTCGTGTGAATGACACGGCAGCGGCTGACCGTACCGGTAGAGTTCAGGAAATGTATTGCGTTCGTGTTGGAAAGGGCCTGCACAGATTCACACTCGAGTGCACACACAGAAACACAAACCCAATATCTTCAAAAGTCTAATTACATTCAAGCAGGCGACTATATATAGTACGTATGCAAAATCACATCAGCTGCACTTTTCTGAAACAAACACTGCCTCTGCCTAGTTGGAAGCATTTCCTCTCCTCCACTTCCCTTTCAAATGTTTCTAGTTTAACTGTTAATTGCTCCGCTCTCTTGCTTTCTGTCGGGGCAAGTCAAACATTGGCTCCTCGCCATAAAGGGCGGGGAGAGGAGAAACCTGGGGGGTATAACGTGTGTGTGTGTGTGTGTGTGTGTGTGTGTGTGTGTGTGTGTGTGTGTG